GGTGAAGCATATAACTTGCAATACTCTTCAATGATCAAAGATTTCAAATGTGTCAATGAGAGAGGTTGAACAAAGAAGCTAAACTGAGAAGAAGATTGATTTATTATACCTTTCACTTTCTGTTCATACGCTGCGCGGTCTCTCATCAAGAGAGAGGCAGCTTCTCCGTTGAATGGATCTGATGGGTTTGGATATAGAAGCAGTTGCGGAAGGAATGACTCGAAAACATTTATAAGATCTGCTAAACAAAACACAACAACTTTAATGGAGGATGCAACACAATCAGGTATAAAAATACATTCAAAATCAAGAGAAACACACTACATTACCAAACATTGGACTCCATGTCTGGTTTATTACGTCTAAGCAGACTGCGCCCGAACTGCCAGAAACACGAATCATAGTTTTAGGGCACGTAAAACACTAACACACATCTCGAAATAGATCAATGCCACTCTTGAAATCCAATGAATAAATGGTAAAACAAGGTTTGATCTCACTTACGATTCATCTACATTGGGATGATAAATCTTGTTAACAAACCCTACCGATGGAGATTTGTATGGATAAGCTTCAGGAAGTTCAACTTTTATCTTCCATACACCTCCCTGATAAAGACCTTCAACAAAAACACAAAAGCAAAGAGACACTTAATCCCAATTCATCTGAAAATCCTATACATAACCATAATTCAAGTATAAACATCATTTAATCCCAATTCAGTTCCTATAACAGAGAGATAACGATGAATCTGAAGTAGTTAAGAGACTAGCGTGAAGACCAAAACCCACAAAGACTAGTTCTTTTTTTTCGTTCAGGCATTTCAACAAGCAGCTTATAAGCAAAAAAGGCAATTCAAAGAGATCCAAAGGAAAGAGTTTTGGAGAAATTACTGTCAGTTGGTCCATGGAATGTCACATAGAACATTTGTAAATCGTCGTTGATTGTATCCACCTTGTAATCACTCATCATCCTAATTCAAAATCACACAAGAAAGAATATTAAAATCATGAACAGATCAAAAACCCAGAAGAAGAAAAAGGGAAATTTTCTTAAGAAGAAAAAAAAAACATCAAATCGAGAGATTTATTATTCAATCAAAGTGGAGAATTGACCGACAATTTCATCATATCCATCTCTCGACGTTTGCTCGGCGAAGCCATGGCGA